AGACAATAAGTTTCACATATTTTTGAAGGAATAAGTGTTCTTGAAACCAAAGCGTTGAGTCTTGTGGTCAAACTATCAAGGCCTATCCAACATAATGCAGCAGACATCTATAGGAACCACATCGCATGATACTTGTTCTAGTAGCTGATCCTCAATGGAAAAGCCAACTAGGTACTGCTGATGTATATGTATCTCATTTCCTTTTTCCAGCTAGGTAAGAGAATATGATTGAGGATGCTTCTGCGTGTCTGATCCCAACTTCTTCACCATAAGCATGGACACCACGTTCTCGTAGCTCTCACTATGGATATGATTAAGTTCCAAACCTTGCCCCTAACAATGCACTTGCTGTGAAAAATACTATGGCTTAACCAGGATCGGTCCCGCTCTAGCTCGGACTGCAAAACTCGTCGAATGACTAATGCTTCTCCCTCGTCTCCGTGGAGTTGAAGCACTTCTTTAAAACTATCCCTGACTCGTCAAACTCCTCGAAGGTGCCCTACTCTTTGAGTGATGACTTGGCTCATAGGGAAGTTGGAAGCTATGTGACTGTAGAGGTGACACTTGAAACAATTCCTGACTGACACTATATTGGAGGAGCCACACCTCTCTGGCTTCTTCTCACTCTGCCTGATTAGTTCCTTGTCCGGCTTTGTTATTTCCTCCCAAGGCCCTTATCAACTGCAAAAGCTACAGATGACTGCTTAGCTGAAGGTGGTGGTTTGAAAGACGATTGTTGCCTACTTTGCATCCGTCGCTTCTCCACCTTCAAGGTCAATGTCTGATCATCCCCCAACATCCAGTATGGTCGTAACTGCATCATGTTACTAATAGCAGGCTTTAGGCCTCTGAGGTATCAAGCTACCATATGCTCCTCTGGCACTGTCAGCTCATACTCCAGCTGCAAGTAGTCAAACTAGGCCGTGAACTTTTCAGCTGAAAAAACCCGCTGTTGTAAGTTGTGGAGTTTCAAAAAAATATCCTGGCAATATTGAGGTGAGAGGTATTTCTTCTGCATTGTCTTCTTCATCTTCTCCCAACTAGCTTGATTTGTTTGTCCTTTGGCGCATCCTTATGCTAAAAAATACATTCAATTGATTGCATCCAGTCAAAAAACTCATCGAGGTCCATGTCTCCAATTCTGGGAGGTTCATCTTGATGCCAAAATTTTGTTGGCCTCCATAAGTGGTGCATTCGCTTAGCCTCCTCTGATATTGGATACCGAAACAACATGGTCGATATTCCTCGTCACAGTGATCTTCCCCGTGGAGCGGATTTAGATCCTCGTCCCTCTCCGCTTCGACTCTCCAGATCATGGTCGAAGGTAATCTCTCCCTGGGTATCATCATCCAGCTCTACTAGCCTCTGCTGCAGGCAACAAATTTCCTGTTGAATCTCTTTTGAGGTAGAGTCCGACATATCCTTTCGTGGTGGCATAGCTATGAAATGGAAAGAAAAATTTTAGTGGATGTGATTTGGGTAGGAGCGGGTGTTAGGAAACCCTAGGATGAGACTAGTATTGAGCTAACTTTGATACCAGAACTAGTTCATAAATTATGAGAAATCAAAAAACAAACTTTTATTAGCACTGAATGAGGATTACAACACATGCAGATGGAAAGGGAAAGACAATAACAATCATTTTTTGACTAGGTCCAGATAAGACAATCTGCGAGTGGTATTGGTGTCGAACAACGTGGTAAGGGTATGGGGGAAGGGCTGACAATTGAGAGGTCGGTTAGGATGAAGTGTGGTGGCCAAAAGGTGTGCTAAACGTGAAGGGTGGTTGCGGGGGAAGGAGGCTAGGACAGCTCGACTAATGACTATAATGAGGTGGCCTAATGTGGAGAAGGGTTTGGAGTGGTGCACAACAAATAGGAAGGTTGGGGAAGGGGTTCAACAGACTAGGAAGTGACCTGAACAGTAGGGACAATTGTAGTATGGGTGGCTAGGAGGCTAGAGATGGAGAGGAGGTAGTCGACGACCTATGGGGATTCAGGGAACAGGTTGGGGAAGAAGATAAGGGAGGATAAAACACCACTTCGGAGCGAGATACAACTGAAGCACCATCCGTCATCAGATACAACCCTAGCAAGGGAGAAAAGACTCCAAATGAGAAATTTGAACACAACACCAAGCAAAAACTGAATCCTAAAACCAGAAAATAACTTACATGGAGAAGGAATGGAAAGGAATCTCCCACACAAAAGGAAACGAGTGGGCGGCAGTCCAAATCCAGAAGCAGTGATTAAAAATTTCCCATATAGAGGACATTGTGTAAGGAAGGTAATAGAGGGGGCTGGCCCGCCCCGTATGAATCCTGCTTGGTCCAGCTCCCGGTCCTGTTGTACCGGTCTGCCTTGCAGGATTTTATTGCCAGCCGATTTGGCCTGTTGGCACCTTAGCCCTGAGTCACTTACTCCATAAAAATATAGCAAATAAAAAATGAGGGAGGCAAGAGAGGCTTTCCACGAGGGTGTTGGCAGACCAAAGGGAGCACATGCCTCCAATAAGCATATGTTATTGGTTGGGTAGACTAAGGCTTCATAATATCACAATCCTTCATTGTAAACTTGTCATCTTAAATTTTAAACTTCAAGTTCCAAACTCCAACTATCAAATTTCAGTTAATCGGACCTGTCGTTAGCATCCTCAGCTAAGCTCACTATCAAGCTCTCTCCATTGCTTTGGCTATAACTCCAACTGTTATCAGACCTCCAATTAACCACAAACTCCACCTTTGCAAGTCAATTCTCATATCACTAACAGCCTCACTAACTTCTAATTTTATCAATGTACTTATTGATCACCAGATGTGACCAACAGCAAACATCAGTCTTTGAACCAATATAGAACTTAATATCTCGTCCTTGATCTTATGCCAAGAGCCCCACTATGGCCCACTACCAATAACTAGGAAAACTCCACCTTCTGATAGAAAAGTCACTGCAAAACCTTGCACCTTGTTGCCTTCACTATTTTCAACTCATGTTGCCCCCAAGATCTTGCCAGTCCGTCCCAACAACACCACATTGGTGCCTATCTCTAATTGTCCATGCCAATTGTTGATTGCTCTCCTACTATGACAAGTAGCCAAGGCTTGACAGCCTCATTCCACATTGATTCTAACTCCCCTATCATCTGACACCTTTGTTTCTACTTTGCCCATAAAACCTCAAAACCAATGAAAAATTGCATCCAAATGTATTAAAGAACACGAAAATAAATAAAATACTCTGAAATGATAAATAACAATACGATTTGCATTGTTCTATAAAATTCATCTAAACCCATGACCACACAATAAGAGAATATTCCACTAATAGACACGCAAATTATATGATGAAAATATTGTACACCCAAATATTTTTTTTGATTTATCTCACTAAATATCTCTTCTAAATCCCCTTTCTATCTCTCCATTTTCTATATCCTCCATCCGTCATATATATATATATATATATATATATATATATATATACATTGGTTATTACTGGCAATGAAGATCATCTTACCAGCTTATTAGCTTGCTCCTTTCCTAGAACTAGAGGCAGAGGCAAGACCAAATTTGGTTGCTCTCTAGCCACTTGACACTATGTATTTCGACACTGTTAGACTTCTTATTTAAGTATCTAATGTATTTTTTTATTTTTTCTAGTTTTAGAATCATTTGTGGTTTTTGAGTAGGCAGGGTGTCATGCTTGAGCCCTCCCACACATTGTATCCGTATCTTTCTTTCTATTTACTATATTAGCCCTTTTGGGCTTTCAAAAAAAATAAATAAAATAATATATATAAATAATATTATATTATGTTATCTCAAGCCTTTTTGTATTTTGCTACTCTGCGACTATTACCACTAACCACAAGCCTTGCAACCATGATTTCATCTACTTCTTATAGATGGTCTTAAGAAGATAGGTATGAAGCAGTTTAAGAAAGAACACCCTTGCTCGAGTTTTGTAGCCATTTTAGACTTTGATATGAATAAGACCAGCATCAAATTCTCTTCCAAAATCTTACAGAAAAATTTAAGACATTTTATCTTAACTTTGGAATAAAAATATAGAAGAGAATCAAACTTCACAGTTAACATCACAACACCAGGAATATCTTCCACAACAACTTCACATTTGAGCGTGCACAAGATAAAGTTTAGTGGCCACTTAAGTCAGCCAACCAAAAAATCAAGCATAATTGTCTTTGCTCCATAAAAAAAAGGGAGATAGGAAGTGTTGCAGTTACTATAACAGTGGAATAACAAGTGCTACTAATAACAAAGAGCTTTAAAAGAACTAGAAATGATGGAAATTTTTGAAAGAATGAAGCTAAGAAACTATTTGGCAACACTTCTGAATCTATTTTTCTAATCAGGACAAAGTATATTCGGTCAGTATTTTGCACATGCTTTTTTTTTTATAATTTGTAAAGACAAAACAAGCTGTTTACATTTACAAAAACACAAATAAATTTTAAGTGTATATTATTTTCAAAATATTAACTCCAAGCCAACCATTCCCATGCTGCTGCTGGCCCATGTAGTGCTTGATAGCATCTCCACTTCGGCCACCAACACCTCCAACCATGGCGCCACCGGTCTCATCCGAACCACAAGACAATTTAAGTGATATTTAATGGAAAAAAAAAATTCAATATCTAAGACAAAAAAATAAATTAACTTATGTGATATTTATTGAAAAAAAGCCATATACCTGGGACAAAAACAATCAAGTAATCAACTGATATGATATTTCAATATCTAAGACAAAAACAATCAAGTAATCAACTGATATGATATTAAACAAAAGCATAAATAAAATATATTCAATATATCAACTATATTATTAATTCATATTAACAAGAAAAATTAAATAAAAGACAAAATGAAAATGAAAAGATATCCCAAACAACCCCGAGTAAATGAAATATATAAAAAAACAAGCACATCAGTCATCATGAAAAAGGATCAAACTAAAGCAAACAAAATTTACTCTACTTACTTTCTGCAGGAAACCAACGCATTAATTTGCCAAGGTGAAGAACAGCAGGTATGATTTTGAACATCAGAGGAGTTGTTATCTGTAGCAATAGGCAAAGGCAAGAGCATGTATAGTAGCGACACTCAGATCCATCTTAATATTGAACAGGGAAGAAAAAAGAGGCCTACCAAGCTAAAAGCGGTTATTCCCAAAAGTAAGAGATACATTTTTCCCTGCATACATACAAATACAAACAAATAATTCATGGAGTGGCCAATTGAAGGAGGTAGCTTCTAGAAACAATAATGCTATTCGCTTAACAATACTAAGGCACGCATTGCAACATAGAAAACATGTTTCTGACAAACATACACACATATCTAATCATAAGAACAAAGGCTCTTCTTTTCTAGGGACATAAAAAAAGAGTAGGTGATAAAAAATTATCGATTCTAAACTACATTTACTTTTGACCTTTTTACTAATGATTAAAAAAAATGAGATTAAATCCAAATAATTCGTTGGTTGCTTATGCATTTGCTGCTCTAGATATGAGCTTTATCTACCCTTCTTTCATTTTCTTTCACTCAATCCCAACATCAAAAAAGACCCTAAGTTTTCAGTAAATTCTTTCCCAACATAGCAAGGGAAAAGGTCCTGATAATCATGATTAGAAACATATTTAGCATCCTAGACACAAGCTTTAACCATTCATAGAGAAAATCGGACAAGTTACCTCAACAAGATGAAAATTTGAGGCGCGGCTTAGCAGGATGAATGCAAATTCTCCAATTTGTGCCAATGAAAGACCCACCTGTAATTGGGAAAAAAGAGTCAAATAAGGATGGAACAATCAAGAATGTTACCATGTTTAGGGGTGATATGCTTCACCATAGCAAAGCAAAACCAATGATGCTTCACCATAGCAAAGCAAAACCAATGATGCTTACAGCAAATGATGTCCTGAAATTATAGCCAAAGGCTCTGATAACTCCTGTTACGACAATGGTCTTGACTATCACAACCAAGATGACAGATGCAAATAGTATGTCGACATGGTTCCACAAGAACTGAACATGTATAAGCATTCCAATGCTAGCAAGGAAGAGAGCTGCAAATAGGTTGCGAATTGGTTCGACCTTAAATACACAACAACAATGATAATAAGCCAAAACTAAAAATACATATAACAGAGAAACTTCGCCACATCAAGCAGAAAGAATGAAATAACCAATCATTCACCAACAGAACATAATAAAGCTAATCTTCAAAAACATCACAAGCTAAATGTTACTGATAAAAGAGTGATAATTGTGCTTTAGCTAACATTAGGAAGATAAACACAGCATTTATGTCCCAGCAGTTCTCATAGAGTAGACAGGTAAGTACACATACACCCACATGCACACAGGCATAACCACCTATTTGAAGTAATACACAAACTAAGCAAACAAATGATATAAACCAAAGGCGCAGATTGAAACATTTCACACCAACAAAAAAAAAATGTTTTACTGTTTCGTAAAAATATAAAAGATCCCTTCAATGAGTATGTTACGTCCCCTCTTCTGAAATCTAGTGAATAGATGTTCTAATAGTGCCGTGGTTAAAAGAAAACCACATAATGTAGTCATATTACCAGTTTGATGAATATAATCAATTATCAAAGAGTAAAATCAAAAGCTACAGGAATACCTGCTCTAAGGTATGCTGTGCAAAACCAGTCGTGGAGATCATGACTCCAGCAACAAATGAACCCAACTCAAGGCTAATACCAAGCCTATCACTGCCCTGAAAGTAGTGGCATATATCAGGGAACTTAATAAAAAATAATAATACAAGCAAATCAAAGCACAATGTCTCTATAATATCAGGAAATTTATAAGCAGCACATCATGGAATTATTCCAAATGACAATTGTCATAAAAAATATTTTCTGTAAGTTTTTCTTAAGAAGTTATTGTACAAACAAGAATAAAAAAGTACATATATTTCTTGAATTTAAAAAAGAAAAAATGCGTTTATCGTAATGGAAAAGAAAAGAAGAAAAATAGAAAATAAAGATTAGAGCCATTATAAATTTCTCTGAATATCTGCAACGCTCCTTCTAAAAAACACTATACTAAGAGTGAAAATTTATCATCTTCGGAGATAATACATCATTTCAATCATCAATCGGTAAATCCAATGTCATGCAAAAATCTGAGATTTAGAAAACTCCACCTCATATTAACTTGATATCAAATTGAGAGCAAGTTAATAATAATATTATTTATTCTTTTTGAGTTGTTAGATACCAAGATTGTGCATGCCTGATTGAATTTAAACAACTTCCAACAGTACCATGCACTAAATTGGACACATTAAATTTGATTTTTTGTACGTTATTGGCTCTCCTACTGATGCAACATGTTACTAAGGGTCCGTTTGGGTCAGCTTATTTAGTGCGGTGCATTTTTAAAAAGCCGACTGAGGTTTTTGGTTACTGCAGTGCTGTAGCTTCTCCAAATAATCTGCGTTAAAATGCGGCCGCAGATTCAACCCCGCGGCCCACGTTTCTTTGCATTAAGTATCATCCCATTGCCCCTCTCGGCCCCATGGCTCCCTCTCTCGCATCTCTTCTGCCCTAGGAACCACTCTCCTTTGAATCCGTGACTCCAGTGGCTAGGCGTTGTTTTCGGATGCCTCTTGTTGGTTGCGAGTAGTTGTTTTGGTGACCCTTACATACTTTTACCTCCCCTTTCTCTTCTGCGGCTCGATTTGGTGGTTCTGTGCACTCTATGCTCTGTGCGTCCGTTCCTTTACTTCGGTTGGTGGTTATTGTTGTAAGCTTTCTATTCTCACTTTCCCTGTCCATTATCTTCTTCACCTCGGTTTGGTGGTTGTGTGCATCATGGGCTCTGTGTGGTAGTCCCTCTTCTACCTCTCCACTTTGTTCCAATAATCTTTGTCTTATCTATTCGGTGGCTTTATGATTATGCAAATGTTGTTGCACAATGCTTTTTGGTTTGGTTGTTGGTTTCCACATCCTGATTTCTTTGTTTGCCCAGTTTAGTGATTTTCGATTTGATATGCTCGATTGATGATTTTGATGCTTCATGTTGCATCCATAATGGATTTGTTTTATGATTTTGAAGCTTTATGCTTTGCGATTTCAGTTGTATTTTGGTCTGTTCGGTTTGTAGATTTGTTATGTTGGTTTTGGTTTGATTGGTATAATTACATACCTATCACCCCAAAAGATGATTTTTGTTTTGCTCTACCCAGTATGAATTTCATATTTGAGTGAGAATTTGAGAAATACATACAAGTTGATGTTGAATTTTGGAATAGCAATATTTTGTTTGCTTTGTATTTTATGAATACAGATTGGGATGTTATCAAGAATTTTGATATTTGAGTCAAAATTTGAGAAATGGATGATAAATGGTGGTGAATTTGCTAACAACAACATGTGGTAGCAACATGTATGTGGTATCTTTAAAATAAAAAAAATATGGAATGAGGCTTTATCTTTACTTTTGATGTTTGTGTTAGGGTTTGAGAAATGACTGAAAGAGGGAGCTTGATTTGTTGTTAATAATGTTTCTGGTGCCCTGTATGTAGTATCCTTAAAATAAAAAATATGGAATGGAACTTTATCTTTACCTTTGATGTTTGAGTGAGAGTTTGAGAAATGGCTGCAAGTGGGTGCTTAATTTGTTGTTAGATTTGTTGTTAGCAATGTTTTGAGTGCCCTGTATGTGGTATCCTAAAAATGAAAAATAAAATTTGTTGTTAGCAATGTTTCGAGTGCCTTGTATGTGGTATCCTAAAAATGAAAAATATGTAATGGGCCTTTACTTTACCTTTGATGTTTGGTGGTGATGTACGTTGGTTTGTGTGTGGAGGTGGTGATGTTGTGTGTGGTTATGTTTATATTAGATTATAAGTTGGTGGTGGTGTTGTGGAGGGAGTAATTTATGTGGTTGTGTTTGTGTTAGAGGATGTGCTTGTGGATGTATGGAGGTGGTGGTGTTGCGGAGGTGATGGTTGGTGTGTTGTTATATTTGTGCTAGAAGATGTGTTGGCGGATGTGTATAGGTGATGGTGTTGTGGTGGATGTGTTTTTGATAAAGGATGTGTTGGCGGATGTGTAGAGATGATGATGTTGTCGAAGTGGTGGTTGATGTGTGGTTGTGTTTATGTTAGAAGATGTGTTGGTGGATGTGTGAAAGTGACAGTATTGCAGAGGTGTTGGTTGGTGTGTGGTTGTGTTTGTGTTAGAGAATGAGTTGGTAAATGTGTGAAGGTGGTAGTGTTGCGGATGTGATGGTATTGTGGTGGTTGGTGTGTGGTTGTTTTTGTGTTAGAGGATGTGTAGGTGAATATGTAGAGGTGATAGTGTTGTGGAGGTGGTGGTTGGTGTGTGGTTGCATTTGTGTTAGAGGATGTGTTGGTGGATGTGTGGAGGTGGTGGTGTTGAGGAGATTGTGGTTGGTGCGTGGTTGTGTTTGTGTTAGAGGATGTGTTGGTGGATGTGTTGAGATGACGATATTTTAAAATAATATTATCATATTATTAATTGTTATTTTAATAAATTTTTTTTTAATTTTAGTAATCATGTTACTCATTGTTAAGAAAGGTGTCTATTTTTATTTTGTAATGTTATGCATTGAATTTTTACTTTTAAAGTATAAAATGTATGGTATGAAAAATTTTGCTGGAAAAAACGTTACTATACAGGGGCAGAATGATCATTCGTCTAGAAACAAATGCAGCACAGTTGTTTTCAAATTGCAAAAACAAACAGACAATCAGCTCATCCGCAGCAGCTTCTGCGTAGCCGGCTGCTCGGCTGCAGCTTATTATTAAGCTACAGCTGCCCCAAACAAACCTTAAGTCAATGCACCTTCAAGCTTGTAGTATTATAGTTGTTCTATAGGTGGAGTCCTTGTAGATCAAACCATATCGCCGTTTTGTTGCCAATGCTTCTATTGGAAACAATTATGCATTACAACTACTTCAAACTTCAGGTGAGATTCCACCTCTTACTATTGCAAAGAGAACAAAAGTCCTTGTAGATCAAACCATATCGCAGTTTTGTTGCCAATGCTTCTATTGGCAACAATTATGCATTACAACTACTTCAAACTTCCGGTGAGATTCCACCTCTTACTATTGCAAAGAGAACATTCCTCCTCCCAAGATCCAGTTCATCATTTAATCACCTATGATCAAGCTTAATAGTCTTCAAGTATCAGCATTTTATATTTATTAGGAATTATCTACCTTTCATATTATTGACTAATTTCATGCAGATTAATATGCAACAAGCCTTCAGGTAGTTACTTAGAAGCGTTGAATAAAAATTACACGTGGCCCAGATTTTTGTTTTCTTAAAGTTATATCCTTTAAAAAATTAGAACACAAATTTTAAGTAATTTAGATGACTTGAAGATTCAACATACAACTTGAGGATTCACTGTTTAGCATCATTTTCTTTTTTCTTTCAATTTCCAACTTAATCTACAATTTTGTCACCGATGCTTTATCACATCCATCATAGAAAGATCATTTGTCTGTATTCAAATCTCGCTAATTTGATAGGCGCAAGTTTCAGGATAATTTTTGGCCCTGTCCGTCACATTTTTTAAATTTCTCATCAATCCCTAAATATTAACAACATCCCTACACATTTAGACACTTGAAAAATTACAACCCTTTGAATTGTTCCTCAAAATATTAAATCTGAACTGGCTTCCTCCAAAAAAAAAAGGGTACGGCCAAAAATAAGAAGAGAGAGAGAGAGAGAGAATTCTACACTTTCCATTGGCCTTTCTCTAGGTCCTAGTCTCAACCAAGATCAATACAATAGCATGCATTGAATTCAATGATAGCTAAATGAGAACCATGGTATGCCCAGTCAATGATAAAAATAAGGCTAACGCACCATTGGAATGCACTGGCTCACCATTTTAGAGTGTAAAAATTTGTAAGACAGATAAAGTTTTATTACCAGTCAAGAAATTATTATGCAACCATAGATGCATATACCTTGATAGTGGTATGCAACCATACAACTACTGGAAATAGAGAGACCAGAAGGGCAATTGAACTAGTTTACCTGTCACACAAACCTTCATTTAAGAATGTTTGCACATGCTAACATACTGAGCTAGTTCAAGATGACTTCAAAAAACGAGCTAAACTAGTAAACAATATGGGTTTGAACAATTATATTCTCTATTCGTTTAGATTAGTCTAGGCCAAATAAAATGCTCAGCTCATTGGCTTTTCAATGGATACACTGCCAATAATAAAGGTAAGGACTTACTGATCCTTAAATAATCCTACCATGATTAACAGCATATTGGGACTTCATAACAATTAATATCAATGAGTACCCCCATCATAATTATAACATATTATTACAAACCTTAATTATTTATTATATATTTCCATATTTATGGTATACAACAAATACAAAATTATTAAATGATTATTAAAAAACTACTAAAGCTTATTCATAATTTATTATTTTTGTTAGAAGTTATTAGTATTGATATATTTCCTTTCTGATTTTTCCTATTTTATGTATTTCCAACTTTATATCTTTTCTTTTATCTCTAGGTGGTTATCAGGAAAAGAATTGATCCCTAGTGATATCAGTGTGGTGTCATTCCTATTTTATAATTCGTGTAACATGTGTTTATTACCCCCCCCCCCCCCCTCCTTCTCATATTAATGAAATCATTTGTGCTCAATTCCCAAAACCTATATGGTATTAAAACAAGGGATCTAACCCTAGC